TTTCATTAAACGAGGGGTACCAACAATTTTGTCCACGTGTGAAGGTCATCAGTGTCTGTTTACAGCCAGTGTACAATCAGTCAAGCCCGTGCCAGCCAGTAAGATCCCTTGAGTCTAAATTTTGAAGTTTTAATCACACGTTTGTGCTGAACAACCCAACATCCTCACTCCACTGCCGAGAAAAGCCAAAAGCACTGGAAGCCGGATTTCTCTCCTCCCTGAGCGTTTTGTGTTCAGCTCTGTTGTGGCTAATTGGTGGGTGAGCATCCGGGGATCCGACAAAGCAGAAACCCACATGGAAATGCACACATACGGGTTCGAGTGGTGATCTTTCACAGCCTGCCGGGTCTGGGTCCCGTGCCAGGCTTCATCTTGGGTACCCCCAGAGAATAAAGAGCAGCTCTGTTCTGTGGGGCTGCTGTAGGGGATTCAGCCACTGTTCCCCCTCTGTGCTTCAGACAACAACCATTGTTCTACTTTTTAATGAAGAAGAGTCGACATGGAAAAATATAAATAAAGAGGGGTAACTTAGTCACTTCCTGGGTTCTATTAAAGGGTGAAAATTGGGAAGTGAGAGAGTTTGGTCATCATACAAAACTGGGTGATATGCAAACACATGGTACCAGCTTACAGTATGTTACCACTATTTAATATGATGCAATTTTCTACTGCCTTTTTTAATCATTTTGTTTCATTTTTATCTGCTTCACAACCCAATATCAAACCATTGTGACATATCTGGGCCACAAAGTTAACAAAACATTTATTTGCAGAGGTACAGCACACATTCTTCAAATCTCAACCCCGATTGGATTACAGATAGGTTTTAAAATTCAAATTTAGGAAAAGATAAGATTCACTGAAACCGAAACCAGCTGGGAAGCAAAGTGCAGGTAAACAGCCCACCCACTCCCGTCCTGTCAACGTAACAAATAACACTTCAGTCAGACATGAAAGGCTACTCGCTCGAATAATCTGAAGAGTAGATTTTACCCCCTTCAACATAAATAACTTCTGGCACTTCAGCTGCCTTTAACAAAGCAGCTTAGATGTAATCTGGGCAGACTATTGAGAAGAGCAGCAACAGCAGCAGCTAAGCCCACGCAGTCCCCCATATGGCATTTCAACGTGTAACCCATCTACCTCCCTGACAGCAGTGATGAGATTCAGCAAATAAAGGGGGCCTCAGTTTCAAGTGGATACAAAACAGAGGGAGCTGCAATCCTGTTTTATTCCTTTACTTTTCTATAAACTCAAAAAAGAAGATGCTGACTGGCAAAACTTCTTCCACATCAAATCACAAAAACATTACCTTGGAGGCTGGGGGGGAAAAGCCAGACTATAAACAGCATGAAGGGTTTATGGGAAATAATGACACTTTTTAAGGTTTGTCCATTGAGGACACCGCTCTGCTCCACTTTCTCTTTCATGCAGAACATTATAACCCAATGTCTTACAAGACGCTGATCCTAAAMTGCATGAGACAACATGTTTGCAGTCCACGTTTGCAGATTTTCATTCACTTCCCATCTGCATCATCAYATGACATATTTGCATAAAGCCTGGAAAGTTCACCACACCTCCAACAGAGAATAAACAGCTGCCCTAAACGTCGCCATCTTCGAAAAACGAGCTCAACACTAGGACCAAACTGGCCATATCGGACGAATGATTTACAGGCAATGATAAGAAGTATACCACTTTAAAACATGTGAACCTCCTGTTACAGAATCCCCCATTTTCATGCTGTAAATATGCAAAATATAAGCTATTTAAACACATACATATATGTTTTTATTAAAGTGAAGGAATTCTTGTTGAGGTTTGTGGTAGAAAAAAAATCTAACCTTCTCATTACTTTAAACAATGAATATTTGGGTGAAACCTGCAACTACTTTCATGGCCAAGGTCACATGTGAATCAGACACTGGTATCACGGCAGAGGAATTAGATTAAAATTAGCCTAAGTCTGTTTCAAAGATCAGGCAAAGGCTCCGGGGGTTTATGAGAAGGACTTCAATGGAGGCTTTTATTTGCAGCAATCTGCAACCTTATCCAAGACGCAGCGGGTTAAAATTTAACCCACCACTGCTTTGAAGAAGCTGAGGCGTTTAGAAGAGTTAGCTTTTAGATCATTTGGAAATACTTTATTAGGCTTTATTTGGGTTTTGAAGCCGTCTTTAAATTGTGAAACTGAGCTAAAACAGTGTCTGCAAAAAGATAAACCAACAAACCAAAGCATGTCATGAACCAAAAGGCAAGTTTTAATGAAACGTACAAATGGTAATCATTTGATGTAATTTACAACTGATTAACTTTTGAAGTCAACCCAATTCAATATGGCAGCCAGGTTCAGCAGACCATAAAGTTAGTGAAAAAATGAATAAATAAAAAGGTAAAAATGATTCTGTCGATTTTACAGATATTGGGCTGAGATTTGGTGTGGTAAAAGTTAACAATTTTTGAGAACTGACAGATTATGAAAACTTCCTTGTTTAAAATTGTCCCTTTAACTACTTGACGATCATTTGTGTTGGTCTGTTAGCAAATTATCTTATGAACCACTTGGCAGATTTCAACGTAACTTTCAGAAAATTGTTGTGGGATTTATGTCTAAAACTGATTAACTTCTGGACCCAATCCCAATTCAAGATGGCCACCAAAGCTAACTGAATTTACAAAAAAATTGGCCATAATTTATTTTGGTTGATGGACATTGTGCTAAAATTTGGCATGGTAACAGCTGAGAGGTTTTTTTTTACAACACATAACTGTAGCACTGTAATGCTGCTCGTCCGTGATCTTCACCTAAGACTTCAGCATTAACTGCTGGACTCAGCTATGTCTGTCAGCAAAATATCTCTTGAACCACTTGAGATTTCAATGAAAATTTCAGAAAGTAATGCTGGGATCCCCACAGCCAACTCGCTTAAGAGTTTACCTGCAACCTCAGGATTGCAAGACTGTGACACTGACTATGGTTGTACAGTGCCCCCATCAACGTAAGACCTTCGTCTAAAACTGGCATGAAAGGAAGCAGGTGATATTCATTCCCTCAAGGGACGCTAGACCTCTAATTACATTAAGCTTTGCACTGAGCCTGACAGTTTATTCTTAGCCACGCAGATGTGGGCCTCTCGGCTTCGATATGCCAGAAGTTAATATCTGAAAGGAGGCTTTTCAGGTCTCGCGGCATAGAAATTCAAACGCTGTACGCTCCCAAGGAGAATTTCAGTTGAGTGGTCGCACAGAGCCGGAGTCTTTAATCCAAGCAGCTCCCTGCCTTGACGCAAGGCTCGGCTGTTGATCAAACAGCGTGAATGAAGCTCGAGGATACAAACCAGTCCAGGATAGGGGGTGTGACAGGAAATGATTAATGATTACTGAGATTGAGAACAAAATCTTGACTCATCAGTATTATCAACCTCGTAGGACACAAAGAAGCCCGAGGGGCATTGTTCTCATCATCATCATCATCTGCTACTCACTGAGTTAAGGTCATCAGCACCATTCAAGAGTCAACAGCTATCATCCAYGGCTAAGACACATCGGGTTTAAAAGGTGGTAACGAACACTAATAGCACTAAATTCTTCTAATGCCAGAGGGCTTCCATCTCGCCAAAAGCTGAGGCATCATGCTGGCAAGAGGAAGGAAAAAAAATGGAGAGAGCGAAGGGGTAGTCCCTGAAATGCTATATGGAGATCGGCTTTACTGACAGCCAGCCCAGGAAATCCTCCGTTTAGACAAGTGGGTTTGTTTCTGGAAAGAGTATTGAGGGATTAGATTGACTAAACTTTATGGATCCTAATCATTTCAAGCCTACAAATTAAAAGAGGRCTCATGATAGAGTAGCTATAATGTATAGGTTAGTCTACTACCAGCAGGAATCCAGAAAATAACCTGTCAATGACCGGACACCCACCTTCTGACATCCCTCCACAAACTGCTTCATCCTATTAGTCTTGCTCCATTTTTCTCTGTAATATGCCTTTTAGCAGTAGATTCAATCTTATATTTCCACTTTAATCTTTAAAAGACTACTCCTTTCCGATTTCACCACATTTAACTACAGACTAACGTCCAGCCTAATGCAGGTCAATCACACGACTGGATTTGTTAATTAAACCAAGTGCTTTGCTTRTCAATAAATCTGGAAAACTACACCATTTGAGGCAGTTCAGGAAAACCTATTTTTCATGTTTGAGTCCATACATTGCGATGGAGTAACTAATCCGTGAGAACACGTCTGGTCTGAACCACATTTTGGTCAGCTCTCAGATTTCGCCTCACTGTTGTTCTGTGCAGGTCTGGAAAAATTGGTCTCAGATAAGTTTCCTTGTAAGTTATAAAGGAAAAATTCCCAAGTTCACCATCGATTTCTGCACAATCAACCAATCTAAACGTCTTGGAGAAGCATTTCTAATCCATCTTCACCTTCTCCAGGGCAGCTTCCAGCCTGCTCACAGGAACTGTTGGCACTTTATGATGTGACAGAGGGTTCAAATAGACCTGGCATGCTGGGGCACTTAAAAAACACCAACGTCTGGACTTGTAAAGTTGAAAGAGAGATGGCAATAAAATGGCTTTCTATGTTAGGAGTGCAGGTGTTTAGAAACGTAGACACTGACCCAACAAGCATTTTGTTTTGAACTGATGGAAACTAAGCAGTGATGGCTGACAGTCAAAGTTTACAAGTTRGTGGACATTGGCAGTTTTGAGTACAAAATTAAAGGAACTTAATAACTTTAATAAGTCTATATGTCCACAAAGTTCTACCTTTTGTTTAGGAAAAGTTTTGCCATTGAAAGTACTTTCTTTTTTTGTTAGAAAACCTCCCTTTTTTTTTTCCCCCAGAAAGCATATAAAGACTGAGGCGTGCTGCACAAACAGATCCAGCCTACACACAGCTGTCCCGTCCCAGGACGACTGACGCGTGGAGGGAGAACAAAGAGCAGACGGAAACAACTTTTCTTTTKTTTTTTTCTTCCAGTTTTCTTACCAAGACGATTCCAAATCTCTCCTCCAGTTCACCTGGCTCTGGCATGGGGAGTTTCAGAGGCATGTTGTGTCCCCTTAGATCAGTGTGCTGGTTCATGCTGCCTGCGTTCCCCATGGTTTCTCTTTGGATCAGGCGAAACTTTTGCCCCCTTGCTTAACTTGTGTTTTTTTTTTTAAAGAAAATAAAGAAAAAATCCTCTTTTTACGGCGGTGAAAAGTGTGAAGTATCCTCACGCCCCTTTGGTTTTCTGAGTTGCTCCCAGCAGCTTTATCTAAGTCGCTTCTTCTTCTTCTTCTTCTTCTTCAACATAAAACACATGAGAGAGACGCAACTTTATACGACGGGTCCGAGCGGCTGAAGCAGCGACGGAGACGTTGAAGAAACATTTTTTCTTCGCACACAAAATAAAAATAAAAAAAAAGCGTGACTCGGACCTCTCCTCGTTATCCGTATCTTGCACAATTTCTGCTCCACTCCCAGTCGGTGGGAATGACGACGGGCATGATTCACGCTGACTCCGTCCTCCTGTCTGTTAGCAGCGAGTAGAGCTGGATGGGTCCACTTCCCACACGCTCTCCCATCCCTCCCCTCCTCCTCCTCCCCACCCACGACCAGCCCTTTCAGGGACAAGCCTCCCCCATCTTCTTCTTCTTCTGAAACCGAGGATATATGTTCGGTGTTGCATTGTGGTACTTTGAGTTCAGTGAAAACAAAGCCACAGGTCCATCAACATCTGCCCACTTTTTTCATTTTAAAGCAGGGCTATTCAACCTGTATTCAACTGGCGGTCCGTGGGTCACATCCGGCCAACAGGTGACTTCTGTCCGGTCCTTCAATGTGCCACCCCCAACCACAAAAAAACTTTTTAAAAACTTAATTTAATTTTAAATTATTTTTTAAATCTCTTGCATTCTATACTTGGTCCTTTAGTTGGCAGCTCAGAACATCACAAACAGAACACTATGGACTTTGTGGACAAGGT